AACATTTCTGACTGCGCCACCGGCGGCCGCCATGGCTAGGAATCGCACCTGCTTCCTCTTACTGCTGAGCGCGACACCTTATATCTGCTAAGTTACCATGGTTACCACGGCGGGTAAATAGAGGATTCTGGGTCATTGGCCGAGCCCATCCTCAGCCCAGAAGGCTTTGAAAGCTTTGCTGCGCTTTTTTCGGACAACTGGCCTCAGAGACAGACTTTAGTGTCTTATACTCTTTGATGTTGCTTTTCCTCTGTCGCATTTTTTTTTTGTAATTTCTCCTTCTCTTCGCAACATTTCTTTTTAACATCTTTCATTCCCCTCACCCGTTTCCCCAGCACAGGGTAGCCAGCCGGTCTAAGAACTGGCTAACCTTCCTGTCTTTCCGCTTGAACTTTCTTCCTTCCTTCTTCCTAGAGTAAGCCTGAACTTTTTTGAAGTACGCAATCGGTGGCGCGTGTATGTTGCCTCAGCTGCGTTGCGGTGGTCGAGTGGCTTGTAGTGTGTGCGCGTGTGTACAGCAGCAGCCTGCGCTTTTTTTTTTTCTTTTTGCCACCGCCGCCGGCGCCGCTATGTTTAGGGCCGCAGTCGCTCGACTGTGGCCGAGTGGGCGTGTGCGAGCAGGGCAATCGGCAAGCAATCCATCACGTACCCCAACACCGGACCCGACCGACGGAAGGACGCTCGACGGATCGTCGCCGTAAGAAGAGAAAGCCGACTCGGAAAAGAAATGGAAAGTGCTCGGGAGAAAAAGAAGCAAGCGTCCGGGACAACAGCCATGCGCTCCAACGCGTTCATGGAGGGGCGCGCTTCGGCGAAACGGTGGACGCGCTCAGGCGCGTTCGCGAAGCTGCGCCGGTGGGCGGGGCGAAGCGGCGTACCCTCACTATGAAAGGAGAGCGTGTCGGAGGCGCTATTGCGCGTCCCCCTGTATGCTAATTACGCCAGTGCGTTCTCGCGCTGGCGCGCGTTCTTTTCTCGTATGTGGTTGCGTTGTATAGACCTCTCCGTGGTAGCGTCGTTTGCAATACAATTTCGCCCATTGAACCGAAGGCTGCATGGTGATTTGGCCGCCTGTTTCTTTGATGCGACCCAAAAAATCTATAAGTGTTGCACTTCAAGTCAAGGTAGAAATCCCTTTGGAGGTTGGTTACGACTGTGTAAGTCCCCTTGGTTGGTTATAGCTGCATTTGTCCGGCAATTCAGTGACCGGCAATTGAATTGTCCGGCAGTTTGTAACTTTATACTGAATTCCTTTCATTTTTTTTTCCCTCCAGTTGTTGTTCGCTTCTTCATCTCTTCCTGGAGTGCGGAGCATAGTAAAACCAACCGTTCAACAATGGTTAATCTCACTGCCTGTCATTTGACTCTTCTTTCACACTTTCTCGCTTGCGCCAACGCACCAACAACGAAAACGCGTATTTACTGAAGCGGTGAAGAAAGTTGCGCGGTGTACCGTCGTCAAACGCATAAAGCGGTAACGTCGTCTGATCACGTCGTCATGACGCCACAAATTTTGGCGACCCGCGGCTTCAAGATGACGGCATCACTTGACAACGATTTTCCTCGCCACTCGAGTTGACGCCTATGGTAACTTTTAGCGTTTGATGGGGCCCCGTCTAAGGCTTTCACATTAATAAAACGCACCACTTCCTGCTCGACAGTTAGTTCCTCTGCAACAGAACGTGCATGTGTCTTCTTACCTGGCTAGCACACCGGTCACCTGTCTGACTGGCTATACGTCGATACAGATCGCCGGCCTAGACCCCCCCCCCCCCCTCGATTTCCCGTGTCTCACGCTTGCATTCTAACCTCCCTCGCACTTTTCTTTGTTTCCTTCTTTTCCCGAACGCCATTAGGGCTCATTAGTACCGCCATCAGATCATGCCCTCTCCCCTTCTCCTCCTCGACCGCGGGAAACCTCCCGGCTGCAAAAGCCGGTGGGTACCACAACTCAACGTACCCCTCCCTCCCTTCCCGGCTCGCGCTCTTTACTGCAAAGCCTCGGTGACCGGTGACAGCTGTCCGTCACCAGCGATGCGTTTCAGGCACCCTCTCTTTCCTTCCCCTCCTCTCCCGCCCTTGTATTCAGTGTATGTTTACTCGCGAAGTTTACTTATTTGCTTCATTCCTTCTTTATTTCACTCGCTAGCAAACACCCCGTTCATTTTCGCCAGGGTTGCATTGGAGTCGCAGAGAGGCGGCGCATATTACGCTTGCTCGCTGACCAGCCGACCGGAGTTTGACGTTTGCTTCCTTTCTCTAAATCTGGTCCTCTCGTTCGCTCTGTTTTTCTGCGTTTCCTTTCGGAGCAGCCGCACGCGCTATAGGCTCGCAGAGGAGAGAACCGGCGAGGCGTGCAGCGATAGGCGAGACCGATAGCGCCCGCACACACGACAACCTCGCGCCCTTGGTGGGTTGGCGGAGATTGCGCGCCCGATTTGTAGGCCTGCGGAAATTCTTTATGGTGCCTTCGACGCGGTCGTGTGAATCGGTGAGCGGGAACATCGCAGCCGGATATTAGGTGAAAAAGAAAGAAAGAAAGAAAGAAAGAAAGAAAGAAAGAAAGAAAGAAAGAAAGAAAGAAAGAAAGAAAGAAAGAAAGAAAGAAAGAGGCTGCTAGTTTCCATTGTGGTGATTGATTACTTAAAAAAGCGTGTGTCGGGCAGCTGGACGAAATTGAATTCGTCGCAGCGAACAGGATCGAATGTGATTTGTATGCGGTAAAGGTGTCGAATAATCTGCGAGGCAGATGCTGCGAAGGATTTCCGAACGCACTTCTGTCTTTGAGTGAGTGAGTGAGTGAGTGAGTGAGTGAGTGAGTGAGTGAGTGAGTGAGTGACCGAACACATTGTGTTCAAGGGAAAGTGCTGTTATCTTTCTCGGATTATCGCGAAAGCACTGAAAAAAAAAAGAGCAAGAAAGAAAGAAAAAAACTTGTCTCTTTGATTACATTGATCGATGCCACTCCACAAGTCGGCATATTACTCCCATATTGCGTCCATATTACACATTCCAAACGTAGTATGTAATATGTCTAACAAAGGAAACGAGGCTTTCAATTTACACTTTACCTATATTCCATATATGTTAGGTCAATTACTTTGCCACAATCTGCAGCTGTCGTGTGGCGGAACATGCATCCTGGTATGCATGCAGCTGTCGTGTGGTGGAGCTTGCATCCTGGTATGAGTTAACTATTTGAACGATACGAAGCGAATGGCATATGCGTTAGCGTGCGCGATGTTCCCCTTCAGGGGGAGAGGGGTAGGCAAAGGTTTGTTCAGCGCCCCCCCCCCCCCCCTGATTGGCTTTCGCCACCTTGCCCCCCCACCCCCCGTGCGTACGCCTATGGGTATACGCAATGATAAAAACAAACACTTCGAGCGTGGAGCGCTCGCATGTCTGTGCAAGGATTCACACGATGCATGCCGTGATATTCGAGAGGTCTTGTATATGGTTTGTACCGCAATTACTTCGAAGAATGTACATCAGCGTTGGCAGTAGTGCACTTACAGTAATTACATTAACTTTTTTGCGGTAATCAGTAACGTAGTGAATGAATTTTGTGGGCTGTAATTTAATAGTGTAATCAATTCTTTTACGCGAGTGACTTCAAGAATATTATTTACTTTCTCAATAACTTTTGACTAATAAACCGCATGTCCGCTTTCCTTGTGGAATAAAAGATTGGCCGGATAAAGAAAGAAAAAGTAAAAAAAGAAAAGTTAATCTGAGTGCCAAACCTCAAGCGTGGCAAGCCGAACAAAGAACTCCAAGATTTCAATGTGTATGTTCTGCAAATATAACATGAGTAGGGCATGAAGGGTGACCATTTGTTAAAGTATATTCAAAGCAGTTTTGTTACTTTTCAAAAAAAAGTTATGTAATTGCATTGCTTTCGTCCAGCTCTAGATTGTAATGTACTTAAGTACATAGTAGTTAATGCATGATACGCAATGTACATAAATTACATCTAACACGAATAAAACATATTCTCCAGCCACTTTCAGTGTAAAGTTTCTAAAGTTAAAATAAAAAACAACTATAAACTGACCCGATGTTACAAAACGAGACGTTACGAAATGAGGCTAAAGATTATGTATAAATGCGGTATGCACAGACATATATTGAACACTTGCATACGTTTAGTATAGCCAGTTGTTTACAGTTACGTAACTACGCCATCAGCAACGTGGTTATTGCCAACACCAGAAGCGGTAGGCTGATATGTAGCGTTCTTTCTTGCGATGATGGTAGTCCTGGCTAGTGCTCCGTATACATCCACTTCAGTGGATACCGCTTGTAATGTATTAAATTACGTGTAACGTATTAAATAAAAGCATTTTTGTTAAATAACGAAGTACTTCGCAACCTAATTTAGGATGGGGTGAAACCTTTTGGGAGTGATTTGGCCGTCTTTTGCGTGCTTGAACAGTTAGCACTAAAAATGCGCGAATAGCTATCATGGTATTTTCTATAAATACACTATAGAGGGAACTCTGGCGCAAGTTTCTATAGGAGCCGCAACGCACGGTGCTTGAACAAGCACGGGAATTATAGGTAGTACACGAATTTCTCCAACCTTCGTAATTTCGGCTCTTTTTGGCTTAGCGTGGCTTGGAGCTGCTTCGTCACGAGACGACAATTGGCAAACGTTCAGCAGTTGCACTTCACCTCAGCCTCTTATAGCTCACCAATTCAAATCGGGTCAAGAAGTTCAAAACAGTCCGTTCTTTTACTCGAAACGAAATCGAAACTCGACAATAACCAAAGCCACAAGCGCGTTCGCGAAGCCCGCAAGCACGAAGACTAGGCAAACTTGTTTGCTATCCGTCGTTCCCGTGGTCGCTGAACGATCGCAGTGCCTAAGTCCTCTATCCATGAAACTCTATGATCCGTGTATAATTTTCGTTTCTGTAACTTTAGCGCTGTCTATAGAAGTGACGGCTTCTCTGCGACTGCGTCGTCGAAAGCTAACCTCTTCGCGTCGCACCTTGCAGCGTCCTTACACCGCAACATGGAGAGGCACGACGGCCACCAGCACAAGAGCAGAGAGCTGCTGTACATCGAGTCACTCGTCGAAGGAGATCTCATTCTGCAGGTGAGTGTACGAACCAGCACTCATCTTGTACTGGGTGTGCGGTCGATGTGACGTAACCGCTACACGAGGTCAGTGACCACTTGAAATGTTTAACTTGTGAACGGGAATCGATCTCAAATCGAGTCGACACGCGAGAAACTTGGCAGATCCCACGTATACCCTGGAAATCAATATCACGCGAAGTATGCTGAGGGAAGGTGACTGTGGTGTAATTTTTTATTGAGTGAAAAGTTACGATTGATTGATGATTGATTTGTGGGGGGCGAAACGTTACGAAATCACGCTAAATATGTGTCCAAAAATGAGGTGTACACATAAACTTATGCTGAAAAGTCACTTATGTATTATATAGCCGGTTATTTACAATGGCGTAACGATTCCAACCGCAACACGTGTATTACCAGAACCAGAAGCGGCAACCTCATATGTAGCGCTCATACTTGCGATGATGGTAGTCCTGGCTAGTGCTTCGTACACGAAGTTCAGTGGATGAAGTTCAAATACGTAATTGACGTTGACCCGTCGTGACGCTTGTATCATATATGAGTACACATGTAACTGTTCATAACATTACATAGCCAGCACTGCAATTTCGATGTTTTACTACCCCGCATATAGGTTCTCTCCCAAAGCAGCTTCGAGACCCGGCTTGGCTCACGCAAATTACCTGGGTTTGTAATCTGCTGGGACCCTGATAGTTATTATTTGAATTTGTCAGGTCAACGCTCCTGATGTAAGTTTTTTCTGCTGTTCTCGCATTCAAATTACCATTGTCTCTTGTCGCCTTTCCTCGCAACATAAACTGTCGTTACTGTGGCGCGGTCTCTATTTTAAATCACGTAGCCGCTGATTACACGCACGCACTGACACTTTGACGGACGACTCAACACTTGCACAGTATTGTGTGATTGATGTGAATGTGTAGTGTAGTGTTCTACTATACATGTATCGTGCGCAGATTACCCTTATTGGCACAACTGCGAGCGTAAACTCTAGTGTTCTATTATGTGTGTCATTGTTCTGTTGTGTGCGCCGGTGTGCAGCAATAATAGCGTGAGCGCAAATAGTTCCATTGTGTAACTTGGCTTTTCAGCGGCGCGTTCTCGGCGCTCACAGAAAAAGTGCTAAAACATAGAGAACTTCGCTTTAAGAAGAGATAAACGTTGAGATTAAATTGCCCAGGCAATGCAGCAACCAAGCTAAAGTTCATGAAACAGTCGTCTGACTGTACATATACACGAGCCACTTCTTTAAAGCCGATATACAGCCAATGAGACACCGCGGCATATGAAGTTTATTATTATTATTATTATTATTATTATTATTATTATTATTATTATTATTATTATTATTATTATTATTATTATTATTTTTATTATTATTAATTTCTCCGGGCCTCTCTCCCTGTACATTATATCGGAGCTTGCAAACGAAAGAAAGCGACACGTCTCGGTAAATCGAACTCGCGACAGCGCCGCCTTACGAGAAATGACAGAAATAAGGAACGGAAGCAAGAAAAGAAAGAGGACACGGCACCGCGCAGTAGTCCAAGCCCACATAAGCGACGCCACTGGCACGTTATATATATATATATATATATATATATATATATATATATATATATATATATATATATATATATATATATATATATATATATATATATATATATTGAAAGACGCAGGCAGACTAGGTACGGCGAGCAGGCAGGGCGAGCAGAAGCGTTTATTCTGCGATGTCTGGCTCGGCTCAGAACCACACCAAGAGAGAGGACGATGATGATGGGTATGTGCAAGTGAGAACGATGATGATGGGTATGTGCAAGTGAGAACGATCAAATGCTTGGAATGTGCTTACAATTTCCCCCCCCCTCTGCGAAGCGGCCAACCTGGCCGCCAGTCAGAGATCGGCCGAACGAGTAACAAAAGGCTTCATGCGTGAGACGTGAACTATTTCCGTGCTGCGCAGACGGCGGTCAGTGACAGACTGAAGCGGGGTGACGAGGTAGTTAACTGGAGATGTCTGTCGTACAACGGTGTATGGGCCAACATACCGGTGAAGAAATTTCTCGCAAAGGCCCGACGCTCGAACCGGGGTCCATAGTAAAACCTTATCGCCAGCATTAAAGGCCACGTCGCGTCGTTTTTTATCACAGCGATGTTTTCTCTCCTTTTGGGTTGCTTCCGTGTTTTTGCGAGCAATTTCACGGCATTGTGTGACTCGGGCTGCGAACTCTTCTGGGAGCGAGGTACTGCTTGGAGCCGGTGCAAAGAAAAATGCCGTGTCGAAGACCGAGGAGGCAGATCGGCCGTACACGAGAAAAAACGGGCTGTAGCCAGTTGATCGTTGTACCGCAGTATTGTATGCGAAGGTGACAAACGGTAAAATGTTATCCCAATTTTTGTGGTCAGGATGCAAGTACATCGATATCATGTCAGAGAGTGTTCGGTGGAAGCGCTCGGTAAGGCCATTCGTTTGCAGATGGTATGTAGAAGTGGTTTTATGCACTGTATTGCACGCCTGCAGGACTTCATCCAGGACCTTGGAAAGGAAGGCTTTGCCACGGTCACTCAAAAGGACGCGAGGGGCTCCGTGGCGCAAGACGATGGAGTTCAAGAAAAAATTGGCGATTTCTGTGGCGGTAGCAGAATGAAGAGGTGAAGTCTCGGCGTATCTTGTTTGATGGTCGACTGCAGTGACGATCCAACGGTGACCGGAAGGTGTCAACGGCAAAGGACCATACAAGTCTATTCCGACAAATTCGAATGGTGTGGTGGGACAGGGAAGAGGCTGAAGGAAACCAGCAGGCGGGGATGTGGATCGCTTGCGGTGCTGACACAACGCGCACGAGCCCACGTATTTGGCCACCGTTGTGGACAAGCCAGGCCAGAAGCAGCGCGTCTTGATGCGATCGTAGGTCTTGTGGAAGCCTAGATGACCGGCAGCAATATCATCGTGGAATGCTTCCAAAACTCGAAGACGAAGGCAGCGGGGAAGAACTGGCACCCACTTGTTACCGGTGGGATGGTAAATGTAGCGCTTAAGCACACCGTCCTGAAGGCGAAATTGTCGAAGCTGGCGTCGCAAGCGGCTGTTGGGTGGTTTAGTGACACCGCGAAGGCGATCAATGAAAGACCGACAGTAGGAATCTGCCAGCTGAAGTGAACGTAAATCGGAGTTCGAAGATAGCTGCATTGGATCCAGCGATGCGAGCGATACGTGTTGTGAGGCAAGCTGGGTGTCAGAGTCATTCGAACGCGATGCGGCGGACGTATTGTCACGAGAGAGCGAAAGTGGGCACCGGGACAGCGCGTCGGCATCATGATGACATTTGCCAGACTTGTACGTAACTGTAAAGTCGTACTCTTGTAAGCGCAGTATCCAGCGCGCAAGACGTCCTGACATATTCTTCATTGATGAAAGCCAACAGAGTGCGTGGTGGTCGGTGATGATGGTGAAGTGCCGACCGTAGAGATACGGGCGGAATTTCTGTATCGACCATACGATAGCCAAGCACTCCTGCTCCGTGATGGTGTAATTCCGCTCAGCTGTTGACAGAGTCCGGCTAGCGTAGGCCACAACCTGCTCTTTAGAGGTGGAATCACGCTGCAGAAGGACTGCTCCAATGCCTTGTGCGCTTGCGTCAGTATGGAGTATGGTAGGCGCTCTCTCATCGAAGTGGCGCAGCACTGGTCCGGAAGTCAGGCGTTCTTTCAAAATTTCAAATGCAGATTCGCAGTCGTTGGACCATGAGAAAGGAGCACCAGTGGCCAATAACTTATTTAGCGGAGCCGCTAAGGTAGCAAAGTTGCGTATAAAGCGACGAAAATAGGACGCGAGACCAAGAAAGCTGCGCAACGTCTTTTGGTTGGACGGTCGAGGGAACTGTAGCACAGCTGCGATCTTCTCGGGATCTGGTTGGATTCCGTCTTTGGAAACGACGTGACCGAGGACTTTGATGCTTTTGCTGGCAAATGTACACTTCTTTGTATTTATCTGAAGGCCAGCCTTGGAGAGACATTGTAGCACCTCGTCTAATCGTTGAAGATGTTGGGCAAAGGTACTTGAAAAACAACGATATCATCTAAGTAACAGAGGCAGGTCTTCCATTTTAGGCCACGAAGAACAGTATCAATCATTCGCTCAAACGTGGCTGGAGCGTTGCACAAGCCGAATGGCATTACATTAAATTCATAAAGGCCGTCCGGTGTGGTAAATGCAGTTTTTTCTTTGTCAGCCTCGTTCATGGGGATTTGCCAGTAACCTGATCGTAAGTCAAGGCTCGAAAAATAGTTCGCCCCTTGCAGTGTGTCTAAAGCGTCATCAATTCTAGGCATAGGATATACGTCCTTGCGTGTGATCTTATTTAACGCGCGGTAGTCAATGCAAAAACGAACAGAGCCATCCTTCTTTTTAACTAAAACGACTGGAGATGCCCAGGAACTCGAAGAAGGTCGTATTATATTTCGCGATAGCATCTCGTTCACTTCTTTTTCAATTATTTCTCTCTCTGATTGCGAAACCCGATATGGGCGACGGCGTATCACACGAGAACCGTCGGTTTCAATGCGATGTACAGCCGCGGAAGTCTGACTCAGTGTTGTGGTACAGCTATGAAAGCAGGCTTTGTGCTTAGCCAAAAGGGCCAATAGTGCTTCAGACTGTTTTGGTGTGAGGTCTGAACCAATGACAGGTCGAAAAGGGAAAGAACGTGAACCTGGAGCTGGTACTGGTGACGAAGACGGGCAGAGTGTCGCGATGGAGGTCAATGGAGAGAAGTCAATCTTTGCCACTGTCATTCCCTTGGGCAGCAGCACAGATTCTGCAGTTGTGTTAGAAACGGGCAGAAAAGCGCAGCCAGAGGAAAACCGGAGGAGGCAAGAGGCGACGAGAATTCCACGGGAGGTGCAGCGAAACGAAGGAGCCACAAGTGCATCACCGTCGGTTACTTGGGTAGATGCGACAGCTATCACGTGTTCGTGACCAGGGTGCAGGACGCA